GCCAGTTAAAAAGAAAATGTGATATATAATTCAGCTAGTGGGAAACAGACAAATATTAAATCAATACTTTCCTCCCTCGTTTTCCAGACCTAACTTTGCTCCCAACCCTTTTTCCACTCCAGGCAGCAGAAGAAGGTTGGGGATGGGGTTCAGAGCCAGTACTAGGGGTTTCCCTCTGCTCCTCCCCCTTTGTCATGCTTTTCTTCTGACCTGCATGGTCTCTTCTGCAGTCTGCAGAAAGTCTCTGATCCAGTGCCTGCAGCACCTTCACCTCTCCTCTGACCTTGGTGTTTCCTCTGCTGTTTCTCACTCCTCTTTGCTCACTCTCCCTCTCTCTGCCAGGCATCTTCTTCCCTTTGCCAAACTCATTATCACAGCAGGGGTTACCAGTGTGGCCAAGGGTTGGTTGGAGCTGCTGAAACTAGCCATGTCCAGCATGCCTCCTGCACGAGGCAGCCCCCAGCCACTCCTCACAGAGACGGCTCAGCAGCCCCCACTGCCAGTGCCTCAACACGAATACACAACTCAACCTTACAGAGTCTGACTGCCTTTCTCTCAAGTATCATAACAAACACCTGTGCCCATGTGCTACAGCCTCACACCTGCATGTGTTTCATTGATGCTTCTATTTTCCACACCGTCTTTTGGACCAGAATATGAAGCCTCATGTGCAGTGTTGGGCCTCTTGAGGGAGCAGGAAAGGGGTCAGCACCTACTTAGAATGATAAAGATGCATCCATTACATTTGTACAGCATACACAGGGAAACATCCATCAATCGTAACTGTTTCACCTGTCGAAGTATTTGGCAACTACTTCTAATGAGCAAAGAAAACTTGCATTGACTTTTGTCAGTGTTACATGGATTATTTCCACTATTCAACAGCTGTGTATCAGCAAAGATATAATTATGGGTCAGAATTGACTTTCATCTACACATCTGCCTCAGCTCTACTCTAAAGGTAATGCAGACTTGCAACACTTTGAATGGTTCAGGATGCTGTTCTCTACTCTGTACAGCACAATATGAAATTAAAACACAACTGAAGCAGACATATATTAAAAACTAATTATTTTGTTCAGGCAAAATTAGTCAATAAACCGAGAAAAAGTACATTCTCTTGGATATAATTTTTTTAACAATAAAAACCCCTAAACATTTCACATTAAACATGTTCTTATCTTTGTGAATATTTTATTCTCATCTATTATAAAGTATTGTAAAGCTGAATTTTATAACAGTGTCATGGTTTAAGCTCAGTCAGCCATGCAGTCTCGCTCTCTCAATCCCCCCGCTTTCCTTCCCCCTCTCCCGGAGGGATGGGGAGGAGAATCAAAAGAATGCAACTCCCAAAGTATAAAGGTGGTGACCACACTGGGAACATAAGCCAGATCAGTTTCATGATTGATGATTCTATTGTATTACGAGTCATTACCACAAAGTACAATGAGACAAGAACCTTAGCCCAAGGCCCCCAGCCGATAACCACTAACACAGGAAAAACCGGCTGTAAGTAAGGTCCGACGTACTGAAACTGTGAGATCAGGAACAAGAACTTTCAGAGCCAATAAATCATCATTGTGACGAGTGACTATTTAATCTGAAACAATGAATGCTTATCACAAATATGATTAGACACACTCCAGTCAGATCTGTCATTATCTCAACCCTCCGTGCCCCACGTAGGGCATTAAAAGAACTGTCATGGTTTAAGTCCAGGCTGCAAATGAGAACCACACAGTCTACTCCCCTCCCCCCCTCTTTCCTCCCCCCCGCTCCCAGAGGGATGGGAAGGAGAATTGAAAGAATGTAACTCCCATGGGTTGAGATAAGAACAGCCCAGTAACTAAGGTATAACACAAACCACTACTCCTGCCACCAATAATAATAATGATAAGGGAAATAATAAGGGAAGAGAATACAATACCACCTGCTGATACCCAGCCTGACCAAGCAGTGAACTAGCCCTTCCAGGCAACTCTCAGTTTACATCCTGGGCATGACATGCTGTGGTATGGAATACCTCTTTGGCTAGTTTGGGTCAGGTGTCCTGTCTCTGCTTCCTCCCAGCTTTCCCTCCTCCCTGGCAGAGCACGAGACTCACAAAGTCCTTGGTCAGACTAAACATCTGAGCAGTAACTAAAAGCATTGGTGTTATCAGAGCTGTTCCCAGGCCGAAAGTCAAAAACACAGCACTGCACCAGCTCCTAAGAAGGAGCAAAAATGACTGCTACTGCTGAACCCAGGACACACAGCATTGCTCAAAATTGAAAACTTTTTAGTTGTCAGTCCCTAGTGAGCTAAGTTAGAAGAAGTTAGATGCCTTCTCTTGAAGTAATGTTTTTATGGCTAGTCAAAAAACATCTATATACACACAACAGAACAAGTCAAGATACTAAGAATGGTGTAAAAATAAACATATTAGGCTTTCCTTTCTTCCTAATGGTAAGCCCAAATAAGTAAAAAGAGTGGCTTCAGTTCCTTCATCTGCTGGTATCTTACCAAAATAGATTTGTTCAGTAATAGTATAGCTAGCACATTATATCTGTCAGCTAGAAATATACTTTGACTTATTACAGTTATTTGACTCATTAGTCAAAACTGTTGAGATAAACCTTTCTTCTTTCACAGGGCAGGAAAATTAAATGCTAGAATTCTATGTTCTTGCTATAAAAGAGCTGGTATATAAATGACCTTAGTGTCATATGCTAGCAGTTGAGGTAATGCATCTGGTAAGGTCCAGATACATGAAATTATTCACATGATTATAAAACATAAATTGTTGGATCCTTACTGTCCATGTAAGCTGTTAACTGACCATTTAATTCACTTGAACATCTTGGTGCTGTTCTATAGACATTGTTTTTCCCGTTCTACTCACCATTTCGTACAAACACTTTCTCCTGCCCATGCAAGGAGTGTGCCACAAGTTAGAATTGAAGGAAAGAAGCAGCTGATTAGGTACATGTAGGCACTGCTCCATCAGCTTTAGGGACTACACTCAGTAAAGTCCAGTAATTGAATTCACATGCTAATATACTCATACACTCTCATGAAGTACTTCTACAAAAGGGTGGTGACAGTCCTGGCCCCAGGGTTTCCTGCTTATATGGCATAAAATGTCTTTCATTTCTCCTGAAGCACCATCTCAAGTAATGATGTTCCCAAATGCTTAATGGAAGGGGCAGTTAAGGATACAGCTGAATGACAGGGGCTTGTATCAGCTCAAATCTCAAGGTTATTTAATGTTCAGCATTTCAGCCTTCTTCATTTTTCTGGGTAGGCTCAGCCTCCCATGGAAATTTTTACAAAGTCCTGTGTGCTCATTTGAATTTGTCTTTCAGACCCAAGCTTCAAATTAAAATTAATGGTGCAAGAGAGTATAAATGCCCTACTCTCTTCAAGTTTCCTTTCAGAGGTCATCATTCACCATATGAATTCTCACACTGAGTGTGCTTTACTATTCTTTTAAGCTTAGTGGCCCCTGTAAATATATCTCCCTTCATGAAATCTGAGGTTCAAGGTTGTTCAGCTACTAAGTTATCTCCAAAGTTTACAATAAATAAATGATGTAAAGTGCAGAGAATGACTCTATAGCCTAATAATAAGACCCAGCATCCCAGAAAGACTTGCCTTCTCTTTCAGTGTGGCTGCATTCTGTTGCAATTGCACTTAAACGCAATTTTAAATGCAATTAAAGTAGATTTGCAATTTTGCTCCCTGATCTCAGAATTACATTGACCTAACTTTTTGTTTGCTTCATGTTTTATTTGTTTTTAGGCTCTGCTTTTTTTGGAAACAAGGTGAGAGATTATATTTACTCACACACATTACTATTAACCATAGCACTTAACAAAGGATAATGAATAATTTCTTAAATTTTTCTTTTTTTTTTTCTTTTTTTTTTTTTTTTTTTTACTTTAGCAGAGATTTTGGAGTTAGTCACTTTCACCCAAGTAACATATTTGCTTTTTCTTGTAGGTCTGCTCCCTAAATTGCTATTCAGGACTGGAAAAGAGCAGCTTTTCATCATTCCTTCTAAACATGTGGTAGAGAGCTGTGTAGAATTACGCATAAAGAGCAGTAAACTTCTTCATATGCAGACTGGTGTACATTATCAGTCTTTCAGTCTCTTCCACCTATACCAGAACAATACAGAGGAGCTTTAAGAATCACAACTTTGCCCTGAAAAAAGCAAGTTTTCTTATTTATCACCAGTTCACACCATTAGTGTTTATTCACATATGATATTAAAAGCCTGTTACACAGATACTTAGTTTTTTTAGAAAAACAATTTAATAAAGAAATGAAAGTAGATATCACATCATTTCATGGAAACTCTACAGTACACAAGAGGAAAAAAATCATTATGCTTCACAGATTTTTTGAAGTCTCAAATTGCTCCTCCTTCAACACCTGAATTTTAAATTAGCATATAATTATTCAGTCACAGCAGCTTGTACTTCAGCCATGACTGTCAAAGAATAGCATGTCTAACACAGAAAATGTGCCAGAAGAATGACTGGGAAACTGAATTAGCTGTGTATCAGTGGTAATTATTAAGCCACAATGGTGTATAGTATTTAGGTTATTTAAATGAGAGAAATGATAGCTATTACAGGCAAAAGGTTAGCATGCAAAAATAAAATGAGCAAAATGGAGCATATAGATGCTGCACACCACCTGTAACACATTTCCCATGTGAACAACACTTGCATGTGTTGAGATTAATGTCTGAAGCACAGAAAATACGTAGCAAAAATATTCATTCCAAATTAACGTGTATTTGGACGTGATGGTATTAAACTTTTGTTCTTTTTTTTCTTCAAGCTTTTGGATGACATAAATGATCACAGCAAATCTGTTTTCACTGAAACATTCAAATATTCACTGAAGGAGTATGGAATGTACACATTCAATCACACATATTTCACAAGATACTGTCTCTTTTGCTCATATAAATGTTACAATGTGGCTATACTGAAATAAGCCAAACTTACAGTCAACTTCAGGCAAAACAGAGGGGGTTTTTTGCAACATAGCGGCATTCTGATGCTGATAGTCTGAAAAAGATTGAACCATTACAATTTGACATATTTATACAAAATGGTAAAATATTTTTTTTGTTTAATATCCTGCTTACATACAGGGGTAAAGAATTTATATTTTCCTTTGGGTGCTATATGAATCTGCTGGTACTGAAACACTGAGAAATTTGTAATTCCAGTAGCAATGCTGTAGTTCAGAAAGTGAACAATTAAACTACTCTCACCTTTCTGGTAACAACCAGAGTGCACGTGTTATACAGTTAGATTTTTAAAGGAGGTCTGAGAAGTAATACAAAAGTCAAAACATAGAACAGTACTAAAACAAGTTTCCAAGAAAGCTTGTAGTTTGCAGGAAATCTGTGAGTTGCTTAGAGTGTTGGGGAAGAAATTAATCAGACAACCAACTTGGCTGTGCAGATTTATAGGTCCTTTCTGACTAATGCGTGGTTTGTTCACTTTCTCTTTGCCACCCTTTATCTAGCAGTGCTAAGTCTTCCTAATTAAAGAGATGACCCTTTAACTGTGAAATCTATATTCTATTATTTTCTCTTTTGCTCAAGCTGTCTTTTTTAAACATGATTCTCGACTTTCACTCTAGGTTGATTATTAGTTTTATCAAGGGAACTCTTGCAAAGCTTCTCTCCAAGAAGGAAACTTGTTAGATAAAATTAAATTATCTCCTTGGAGGAGGATTTTTAACATAATTGTTAAATAACACATAATACACATAATAACACTAATAACACAATATTCCACATAATACACAATAATAACACATAAAACACTAACACAAATATTAGCCATTCTGATTTGACTCTTTTTCATGTGTGTTTTCAGGACATAGACATTTCTGATCAAAATTATGTTTTCAAATACTTATGATTAAAATCTGATTTCAGGTTCTTTTCAGAGCTCTATACTGACAACGTGGTATAATAACCTTGAACACACTGATGCTAAAACTCTCCTTGCAGGACCTTAACTCACATTTAAGAAAATGCAGGCTAATCACCCTACCAGAAAAATTTTCCGTAATTTCTGGGAACATGCTGACTTTGATATTATTTGCCTGTGCGAACCTTATGAGCCCATGTAAACCTCATGAAGTTCAACAAGGCAAAACACAAGGTCCTGCACCTGGGTTGGGGCAATCCCAAGCACAAGTAGAGGATGAGCAGTGAATGGATTGAGAATAGCCCTGAGAAGAAAGACCTGGGGTATTGGTGGATGAGAAGTTCAACTTGATGCGGTAATGGGAGCTTGCAGCCCAGAAAGCCAATCATGTCCTGGGTTGCATCAGAAGGAGTGTGACCAGCAACTTGAGGGAGGTGATTCTCCCCCTGAACTCCCCCTCATGAGACCCCACCTGAAGACCTGTTGGAGTGAGTCCAAAAAGGACCATGAACATGATCAGAGGGCTGGAGCACCTCTCCTGTGAAGACAGGCTGATAGAGTTGGGCTTGTTTAGCCTGGACAAGAGAGAGCTCTAGGGAGACCTTAAAGCAGCCTTCTAGTCCCTAAAGGGGCATAGAAGAAAGCTGCAGAGGGATGTTTTTACAAGGGCATGTAGTGATAGGACAAAGGGGAATGCCTTTAAACTGAAAGAGGTAAGATTCAGATTAGATATTAGGAAGAAGTTCTTTATGGTGAGACACTGCAACAGATTGCCCAGACAAGCTGTGGCTGCCTCATCTCTGGAAGTGTTCAAGGCCAGGCTGGATGGGGCTTTGAGCAACCTGCTCTAGTGAAAGATGTCCCTTCCCTTGGTGAGGGAAGTGGAAATAGATTAACTTCAAGATGCCTTTCAACCCAAACCATTCTATGATTCTATGATCATATGACTTGGATGGGCCTTTGAGCAATCTGGTTTAGTGGAAGGTGTCCCTGTAGGGGACAGGAAAGTAGATGATATTTAAGGTCCTTTCCAACCCAAACCATTCTATGATTCTATTATGATTCTATGATCATTAAGGAAATGAAGCTTTGATTACGCAAGTTATGTTAATTCTAAAGAAGAAATAGCTGTCATCCAGCCTTTTTCTAAAGCAATGTCTTTTTTCTGAGAGCACTGTAAATTGCTGTGCATATATGATCATACACTCCTGTGTTGAATGCAAGCAGGAGATTTGCAGGTCCTTCACTTTCTTTTTCACTGTGGAGATAAGCATCAACTTACAGTCTTAGGAGTTTAATTAGAAGTGAGACTAACGTCACCACAGAGACAGAAGGGGTGTTCTGCCATCACCATCACTTCTCTCACTTATCAGGGTCACACAGCATAGCAGGTGAGCAAGAGCAACGTATACAATCCTTTTTCATTGGAAAGGTGAAGGCAAAGCTCAGGCAATAGAATGACAATGTTTTTCATGGCTCGGAATCAGAGCTATGGGAACAGGAATTGTTGAGTTGACAATTTGTGTTTGTTCATTTCAGTCCTGAAGTTAACACAGCATATTTTAACAGCACTCACCAGTCAATCAGTCAGGCCGGCCATAAAAGGCAAATCTCTTTTCCCTCCTCTTTCCACCACTTATTTGCTAAAATGCTACTGAGTAGTAAGATAAGGCAAAAATAGTAACTGCAAGTAACCTTTACTAAGCATTTTTTGAATAAAAATCCTTGATATTTTTAATTTAGAATATGTGTTAAGATCCCTAGAAATAGATTGGAACTTCACAGTGGCAAGCTTGGAGGCTAAGTTTCTCAAAGAAAATCTTTCTGCTAGCTGCAAGGCAGAAAGGGAAAATGTTCTCACTTGTTAAAATCTTTGCATTAACCTTTCTCATTTGTGTATATAGCTACATGTTATAACAATGGAAGATATATATACTAACAAGGGCTAAGGATGAGACATACGGCATCTTTTCATTTGGGCAAGAGAAAGAATGAAAAAATAATGCAATTCCTATTGAATTCTGTGTTTGTATGATTGAATTGCTGAAGCAAAGATACACTAACCTTGTTTTCTTTATTTAAGAAGTCATTGTCCTCATCATTTTTATTTTTTTTCATGGGGAATACACTAGCTTTTCTTCATGGAGCCATATTAAATCTCTTTCTTGCAGCAGGCCTTGGATTCTTCTTTTTTTTTTTTTTTTTAATAAGAAAATGTTAAAAAATGGCCTTCTCCTTGTAAGAAAAATAGAGTTCTCTTTCTAGTGCCCCACCTGCTCCATGCCTTAGACTCACAGGTTATTTGACTTTTTTAAATACCTGGTTTTTTTCTGTGCACCCTTTCCTTTCTGAAGTGCATCATTTAGCCAGTTGTCACTCTTTTAGCCTCCTAATCTGCTTACTAGTTTTCCTCTTATATTATCCTACCCTGAATCTTAAAAGTGCTGTTCTGACCAAGAGAGTAATGGTGGAGGTTCCCAGACTTGGAACTTTTAGCTTATACTTCTGCTTACTCTTTTGCACTCTCTGTGCAGTGTGGTGCTGACTCCCTCTCAAAAATACTGTAGAATTCAGCAGATGTCTTCATGAAATTTACATTATTTGTAAATATTTGGTGGAGAAAGTTCTGCTTCCTGCTTTTTTTGTGGCATTCTACCTCCACTAGGCTTTATCTTTTCCTTATGAGCAACCCCAACTGTCCCTCTGAGAATGAGTTGCTCACCTAGATAGGATTCTTCATATGACAGTAATGCTAATATTAATTCAATAATATACATACATACCATAGCAACACCAATGTAACATAATCCAACTCTTCAAAAGCAGATGAGAATATGATCACCAAATGTGATCAAGGTGTTTCATGTTAAGCAGAAGTTCAATTCAGAAGCACTGGGAGGAATCAATAAACAGTAATAGCTGTGCCTTGCAAGTTTATATTTTTACACTAGTTGCTATGACATTCTTTAAATAGCCTTAGTTGTATTTCTTCTATTAGCAGTACCTCACTCCCCAGATGGCTTAGATACAGCAAATAAAACTGAACTGCTGCCTTCTGGTGCTTTTGCTCTATCAGCTGCCTACTTCACAAAATTTGCATATATACACCAAATGTCTATCTAACACATATGAGATATGGCAGTACAATACACTGGGATCTGCAATAAAATTTTCTTAATGAGACGAAAACCTGTACTTGCAATATGAAAAGAGATTTTGTTAGGCAGCAGGGCTTATACATTCTTCATTTCAGATTTGGATTTATAATCCTAAAGTTCCCTGAAAACTTTCAATAGACTGGTATAATAGACAAAATAATAACTAGAGTTGGACCCTGTAGAATTTTAACATATCATTTCAATGCTGTCCAAGCAAGAATGCCTAGAAACTTATTTCACTTTCAGTTATGCCCTCACTACTACAGCAAAATTAACTGTACAGGAATCAGCAATACTATTTAAACTTGGTTTTCACTTGTGAGGTGGAAATAGCTAGACCAAGATTGACTGTTCTGTAGTTGTATTATAGATGTGCATCACTTGAGTACTCACATACAGGTCAATGATTTAAAGAGAGTGATTCCAGTGTAGTGAACGGATTTATTAAAGCACGGCATAAATGGCCAGATGACTCTCATTTTCACAATTCTTGACCTCTCAAGTTGTTGTCTTTATGAAAATCAAATATTCATTGTTTTTCATATAACTCAACATTACCTCCGTCATCTGTGTTTCAGCCTAGATACTATCATGTTCTCTTTTGTATCTCAGAGGTCTGATGGGCATCACAACAGTGAAAATTTTAGGATTAAATTACTTATATTGATGTCAGAATTGACATGCACTTGCCATGCCTTTGACCAAGACACCAAAACACAAGTATGAAGATCCAGGTTACTTACTTTACAGTTGAATGAGAAAACATAAAGAATTCTTCCTTTCATGAAATCTGTTGAATAACTGATCAAATGGAAGTTTAACATAGATTTAGATAAAAAAATGTGCAAGATGAATTGTCACAAAACAGTTGCTGTCAGCATTACTCATTTTCACTGTTGTTGTTATTATTATACAATATATGTTTACATAGTATAATGCCAGTTTAAGCCATTTAA